AATCAAATTTGGATTTTTTATGAATTTTTAAAGTTGCTCAAAAATCAGGTCAAAAGTCCCTGTACTGTAGTACATGGTCTCGGGTCAAATTTTGCCAAAATTAAAAAGGAGAGAATTTGCCACTTTTATAACTTTATCTGATACATATACATGTACTTATGTTGTGTAGAAAGTTTGAGCAGATTCCGATCAAATTTGGATTTTTTATGAATTTTTAAAGTTACTCAAAAATCAGGTCAGAGTGAGAAACCCAGATAATAGTCATTCACACTTACATATCTGCCAACAAACTCATTCAATCGCTTCATAAAGAAAGTTGCTATTAGTCCACTGAAGTATATTACCAATGGAATGATAGCAACACTGGACTGCAACAGAGAGAGAGAGAGAGAGAGGAAAGTATGTTATGACAATAAAGACTACGTGTACTTATTTTTATAGGCTTACCCTGTACATTTTTAAAGTGTCAATCATGTACAAAGGACTATAGACTTGGGTTAGATTAACTATCAGTCTACTAGACATATATATGAGAGCAACCTGTATGAAAACGAAAGACATAAATACGTTTTAATTTATATTCAATCAGAATAGACATAATAAAATACTGATAAAAGATTGTGTTATGACTACAAGTCATTGTATACTGTTTATGAACACTGAAAGTTGGCAGGTGAAGTAATAAAAGTATATAAAAGCTGTGTTCATTGCAGGTGTTCACTTATTAATGGAAAAACAATAAACTCTCTACACCATTAATAACTATAGTGCCTACTTGTACATGCATTGCACTCTGGATGTTCGTACCAGATAAAACTTTGGATTTAAGAACCAGCGATACCAAGGCAACCGATTGTTAGTGGGCTGATCACCAGCTGCCGAACCATGACCTCCATTAGAGGGCTCCTTGGTACCAATATGAAACATGAACACAAATGATAAACCAACCACAATAATACCAAGAGCAGTCCCCTAGAAAAAGAGCAATAATTAAAGTATTTTAGGTAGAGCACCTTTTAGTGCATACAATACTGTAGTGTGAACATATTTATTATAGGAGTTATAGATGCACATGATCTATGAATATAGAATAGTATATCCCATTAGGATACTATGTAAAGATAACAGTATCAAAAGCTTCTGTGTAATAGTTATTTCACATGATGTCCAGCACACTGTTACATAATAGGACTAACTGAGAATAGCCACTGGTCATTGGGTGTTATCTGACTCGACTTATTGACCGATGATAGGAGGACAAGAACTACTATAAAGACACCTGAGTTAGATAAAATGGTGAACGCATATCTGAGAGAGAAAGGAAGAGGGAAAAGAGAAAGAGAGAGAAGAGAAATAAGAGGAAAAGAGGAGGAAGATAAAGTATAAAATATAAAATTATGTTCGTATCTTCGGCCATTACCTAATTGAATTAAGCTCAACCCTAATGCTTTTATCAGAAGTAAGTACTGGTATTAAAGACAAGTGTGACACCTGTACTGTAGCCCAACCAGCTTGAAAAACAATAATGAAACACGAGAAATATAATATCTGATATTTCATCGGTTGCATGGAACAATAAATGCACTCGTGCCAGAAAAAGAATAACGAGCAAGCGACCATACCGGTACCAATCAAGTGCCATGTTTTACGACCACCGTAACGATTTGAAGTATTGTCACAGAAGTGTCCTATGACAGGTGTGGTTAGAGCATCGGCAATCTGACCAATGAGAACCAAGAGACCAGCATCACTATTATCTATCCGTAAAACGAGGTGGTAGAAGAGAAGGAAGTAGGTAAACCACATTGAAGCGCATAAGTCATTGAAGACATGACCGATTCCATAGGCTATACGGCGAGGATACGGCAGATCTCCTGATTTGAAGAAACGGGCGAGGAGAGAAGGACGTCTCTCTTCTGCTTGTACTTGACTTTCTTCACTCCCCGCACTATTTTCATCCATAGTATCTTCTGAAAACTGAGAAAAAGCTCGCATTTGGTTATCAGTTAAACAGTACACAGCCACTCCCCTCATAAGCTGAGTCATGAATATTAACACAGATGATTGGTTTTTAACTTGAAAAATAGTTAGTCACAGACAAATTAAACACTACTTCTTGCAATAAATAAATTGATCTAATTTGAGTTGCTGTTCTTTCTACTTTGTTTTCTTTTCTTCTTTAGCATCTTATGCTGTAGTATAGTTCACATAAAAGAATAAAGTTATTACATGATACAGTAACAGTGCACCTACTTTCATTAAGAGCTGCTTTCTTTTTAAGATATTGGTACGCCTTTTCTTACCAAAATCAGTTTCACTTAGTTTCTGAATACAAGAAATAAGAAATGAATAAGATGCAAAGAAAGACTGATGTCTAATATCTTACTATATCAACTTCTCTCTTAGCCATTGTCACGACACTTAAATTCTTCAATGCTATATCCTCCTCTATGGGATACTCAACTAATTCAGTTTCTACAAGGCAACAAAAATCAATGCACATTTACTAACAATCAACTAACTGATATCATTTTCTATATTCTTAACTCTTGTTACATCGTATTGGGTCATGAGAGAAATTGCCTGACCTCCATGACCTTAAAAAACAAAATGTAAAAATTATTAAAAATAATACATGATCTAACCAGCTCTTGCTGTGCGACCAACACGATGAATGTAGTCCTTTGAAGAGGCTGGTATGTTTAGATTGATGACCACACCCACTAGTGGAATATCCAAACCCCTATTATATAAGTATTAAATGAATCATTCACATTCAGTTATTTTACAACATAATAATAGTTAATTTTTCTTACAATATAAGATAATATTAGCATTCATATGTTATGTAGAAAGTTTGAAATGATTTGGATTAAAATTTGAATTGCTAGAAACATAAGTACATGTACATTAATATGCATCAGAAAATGAAATAAAATTGCTATTATTATTATTATTATTATATGCTACCTGCTAGCAACATCAGTAGCTACCAATATTCTAACTTGTCTTGACTTAAACATTGCTAATGAAGAGAGTCTCCGTCTCTTGAAAACAAAAAAATAAAACAAAAAGAATAATATTTTATTACTTGCGTCATCAGCGAATGTAGAGTGACATTCGGAAACTCTAATTGTTTTAATAAGAGACCGTATATTTCACAATTTCTATTACAACAGAAATAAAATATCAGTCAATGTACACTTCTCTCTCTTTTCTCATACCTACATGTATCAGTGAATAGTATGATTGTTTTCTTATCAACATCATGAAACTGATCCAGCAATGTTATCAAATAGCAATCCTTTACCTAAAATAACGTAAAACATGTACAAGTACATGCATCTAGTTACCTGAGCAGGAATCAGTACATAATGTTGATCAAGGGAATCAACTGTACTAATTCTAAATAAAAATTAAATAAATTATTATTAGAAAAAGAAACAAAAATTTCCAAAAAATCTTCACATAAATGTTAAACATAATTATTACAGTGTTATTATTACTCTTTTGGTGCTTCCCAGCAGAAAGGAGGTGTGGTTGACAATTCTTTTAGTCTATTTAAACTATCAGTGAGTGTTGCACTGAATAACAGTGTCTGTCTCTTCTCTGGCAGTCTCTCAAATATGACACTCAAATCATCCTCAAAGCATTTCTCTAATAACCTATCAGCTTCATCTAATACCTATAATTATGTAAGAAAGAGTAGAGTGATTTTCAATTCTGCCTTCTCTTTGTTCAGCAAAATTCCATGTTCCATGCAAAATTCCATGTACATTCCATGTATCAGGGACTTTGACCTGATTTTAGAGTAACTTTTAAAATGCATAAAAAATTCAAACTTGATCGGAATCAGCTCAAACTTTCTACGCAACATAAGTACACGTATATGTATCAGATAAAGTTATAAAACTCATAAATTCTCTCCTTTTCAATTTTGGTGAAATTTGGCCTGAGACCATGTACTATAGTACAGGGACTTTGACCTGATTTTGGAGTAACTTTTAAAATTCATTAAAAAAAATCCAAACTTGATTGGAATCAGCTCAAACTTTCTACGCAACATAAGTACACGTATATGTATCAGATAAAGTTATAAAACTCATAAATTCTCTCCTTTTCAATTTTGGTGAAATTTGGCCTGAGACCATGTACTATAGTACAGGGACTTTGACCTAATTTTGGGGTAACTTTAAAAATTCATAAAAAATCCAAACTTGATCGGAATCAGCTCAAACTTTCTATATAACATAAGTACATGTATATGCATCAGATAAAATTATAAAAATGGCGATTTCTCTCCTTTTCAATTTTGGCGAAATTTGGCCCAAGACCATGTACTATAGTACAGGGACTTTGACCTGATTTTGGAGTAACTTTAAAAATTCATAAAAAATCCAAATGTGATCGGAATCAACTCAAACTTTCTACACAACATAAGTACATGTGTATGTATCAGATAAAGTTATAAAAGTGGCAAATTTTATCCCTTCCAATTTTGGCAAAATTTGGTCCGAGACCATGTACTATAGTACAGGGACTTTGACCTGATTTTGAAGTAACTTTAAAAATTTATAACAAATCCAAACTTGATCGGAATCAGCTCAAACTTTCTACATAACATAAGTACATGTATATGCATCAGATAAATTTATAAAAATGGCGAATTCTCTCCTTTTAAATTTTGGCAAATTTGGCCCAAGACCATGTACTATAGTACAGAGACTTTGACCTGATTTTGGAGTAACTTTAAAAATTCATTTTTAAAGAAACCAACTCAAACTTTCTACCAATGAACAAGATAGATACAGAGAGAGTAGCGATATACCAAATATTTAATTTTCTCCATAAAAACAGTATCAGTGCTTTGCAGGTGATCTGCCAGACGACCCGGAGTTGCCACAACAATGTGTGGTCGCCTTGACAATGCTAAAGCTTGAACCATCATGTCTAGCAAAAAATTATAACTTAACTCATTGACAATAGAACTTACCAACCCCACCAACAATTACTTCACTTTTGACACCAATGTGCTTGCCGAGAACACAAAACTGATCCGAAATTTGATAGGCAAGTTCCCTGCTCACAATATCATTTATTTCTATTTTGATTTTAATTAACCTGGTGGGCGTTAAAACTAATGCGTATATCCCATAAGGATCACGTGAAAGTGAGTGAAGTATAGGGAGAGCAAATGCAGCTGTCTTTCCACTGCCAGTCTTAGCAGAACCAATACAGTCCTTTCCTATACAAAGGGGAAATCATCTGACCAATCAGATAAGCCCAACCACGTGCAGTACAGCTAAGTATAGTAGTATTCTTTACCTTCCATTATTGGTGGAATACAGTTCTTCTGTACTGGAGTAGCCTCTTTGAATCCAAGACCTTCGCACTGTCTAACCAACCAGCTTGACAGACCAAGAGAAGAGAACGTGCAAGAATCTGCCATGTTTTAATATTCTAGTTATTATAGTTTATTGTTATTAAACATTTTAATTAGTTTAATTCTGTGAATTGTTTATTATTATTAATTTATTTGCAATAATTATCATTAATATTTTCATTATTCAATTGTTCCCTGAATATTGACTCGAGAGTCTGTCGAATTCTTCTTCCTATGTATAATCATTGACAAAAAGGAATGAGTCAATCATTATATTCAACTCTCCTTCTCTCTTCACTAACTTTGCTCTTGAATTGCTGCACATATAAATGCCCTCCATGACCATCCTTCAACTGAGCCATGTACCTCTGACTAACCTGATCAAAGAGAAGCAAAAAGTAAAATAAAATGGCAAAAGAGGAAGGGAGGACTCACTGCTGATGGTTTTCCCAAGTGATGCGAAACAACAACTAAATTGACTAAAGTTTCTGGATTATTGCTATCCTAAAAATACACCAAATAATACAAATAATTTATGAATGCTATAAAGCTTGAACTTACCTTTGATAGTGCATCTTGTAGTGCACTCTCAGCTTCATCATATTTACCTTGACTAATCATACATACTGCCTACAGTACAGTAGATGACAAATTTATAAATAGAAAATAAATAAAGAGACATTCAAATTTATCTCCTTTTATACTCCCTACTTGTCCATTGAGGAGGAGTGGAGTGGGTGTGGTTTTATCAGCAAGCTCTTGGTAGATGTAGTAAGCATCTTGATACTTGTCTCCTCCTACGGCTAAATTGAACCAAGCAAGAGCTAACTGAGAGAGAGTTGCATCGTCGTCTTTCTCTTGCATGATTTTGAGCTCTTTCCTACAAAAAAGAGAAAAATGAAGATTGCAATGAAGATCAAAAAGTAAGAAAAAAAAAGCAAAACGGGAGACAAGAAAAGGATGCTTTTTGTTGGTACATACTTTGCTAAGTCAAGTCTGTTCATTGATAGTAATATCTGTACTCTTAAAGCTGCCCTGTGAACAAACATAATGACAATAAAAAATTGTAATATTAAATAACTCCTCACCCTTCTAATGAATCCGACTGGTTGAGACATCGAAGGGCAGAATCAAAATTCTAAAAGTAAAGAGAGAGAGAGAGAGAAAGA